ATATACAATAATTTCAAAAGATAACATTTTTGTAATTTTTCATAAATTTTTCGAAGAATTTTTTATTGAAATTTTGTAAAGATAATTTTATTTCTTTTGAGTAATAATAATAATAATAAATTAAATACTTCATTTGGCGGGCGTGACAGTTGCTACTTATTTATATTACTTAATAAAACAATTTTAAATACAAATTTCATAAAATTCAATTATTTCTTTAAATTTTAAATAAAAAATTATTCTAAAATAATTCATAAAAAAAAATTTTTTTCTCGACAGTTTTTCAATAATTAAATTATTTTAAAAAAATCAATTTTAAATCTGTAAAGTCTAATTATTGTTAAAAACAGGAAAAGTTTGAAATAAATAAAATCTTTTCAACGCTAAAGAATAGCATTTAGAATTTTCTTATGAATTCTTGAAATTGAATATTATTCCAGCACTTTTGACAAAATTCTCTGCCTTTTTTCTGATTTTCCTGAATAAATTTAGAAAAATAGTGGTTTTGTGTAGAATACTTCTGAATAATGGAATTTTTTAACCTTTATGGGACTGAGGAAAAAAACACCTTCTATGGACGGACGAGGTACCCGGGTACCTATGTTTAATTTGACGATTTCTTATGGATATTGTTATTAATTATAGCAACTGAATTACATATTTTATAAACAAATTATGTGTACACTGAAAAAAAAGTGCTGTTGAATCAAATATCTCCATGCTATTGAATTCCCCGTCATTGATTCAATGACACATTTATTAATCGAAAAGTATATTGCTTAAAATGAAAAAATGAAACTGTTTAAATTAAAAGTACGGTACTGTAGAATTAATGATATTGTGCAAATTGTTTCTATAGTTCATCTATACATAGCAACAGAATAATTTATTGCTTCTTTGACATTATTCATTTGAAGCATCTAATAGATAAATTTGAAGAAAATGCATGTAAATTTAAATCAAATGAAAAATTGTTTGCTCTAAAGAAGCGCGCTCTGAAAACGAAAGCATATGCTTTCGTTTCAATGAGTGGTGCTATTGCGGACTGCCTATAGCATATGCTATAAAAATAAGAACACTATGTTTTGAGACATTGACAGGTACTAAATTTATTGAAATACTTACCCACATATATTTATATGTTTATTAAACCTGTCGTTTTTGAGATTCCAATATAAAAAAGTATTATTTAAATTCTTTTAATTAATTAATGACTAGTTAAATATAAATTCCCTATATAAATTCCCTTATATACGCGAAAAATCTCGAGCACGGTATTTAACCACAAAGTAAGTGCCCAACGTTGAGAAGCGGATGTATTACATTGCAGCGCGGCGGTTCTCGTCTATCACGGAAGTTAAGCGTCCTTGGTCGCGGTTACTAAATGGATGGGTGACCGCTTGGGAATAGCCGTATTTTTCTGACTAAAAAAGATAAGTGTGTTTGAATGTGTATGTGTGTGTGTTCAATTTATCGTTGGTATATATTTAACCACATAAAAGAATTGAATTAACAGTATGGTGTTATTCAATCGATAGCAACAACTAAAAAAATTAAGAGTACACATTTTTGAATCATAAAAATGATGCTTTTAAATTTAAAAGTTATAGTCATTGACTCAAAAGCATATACTGTTAAATTAAAAAATTTTGTTTATTGATTCAAAAGGATTCACCTTCGAATTAACATAGTATGCTGTCAATTTGAGAAATATGCTTTTGTTTCAAAGAAAGTGATACTATCGAATCATTAGAATCGGTGCCTTCAAAACAACAGCATATACGTTAGGCAGCCCGTTATGACACTATTCAATGAATCAAACCCATATGTCATTGATTCAACAGCATTTTTTTCTCCATGTAGTAGGGGAGAGTCTCCAGTTGTGAGACGGGTTTCATTTTTGACCCGTAAATTGTAAACGGGTAAACAAAATTGTAAATAAAATACACCGTTCGAAAGGTAACAGAAATACGCAACTTTTATTAAAAGAAAGTGTAGTGTTTCGATGAACTCAGAAAATTTTACGATACATTTTCCGAGCACATCGCTTTTTTCAAAAAAAAAAAATGTCTCCAGTTGTGAGACACTCATTAAAAAGTGCTAAAATTTAATAAGTTTGGCATAAAACGTTATGTCTAGTAGAAATAATTAAATATATTAATAATATATATTATTATATACTAAATAATAATATTTATTCGCCAAAATATGTCTATCAAATAAACATCATTTAATAGCTTCAACAAGAGCATTAAAATTGATTTCTTCTGAATCAATTGACTTTTTTCCACTTGACATGCTCAAAAATACTAGAAAAAGAAATGAAAACAACATTTAAATAGTATGCCTGCAAAGTCGTATTTTTTATGCTGCCCAGATGGGTGTTGACACCGTCTCACAACTGGTGATATGCTGTGTCTCACACCCAGAAATTGGCGCTATTTTAAAAAAGGAAAATTAAATTATTTTCAACCGTAGATTGGAACAATGCAATATTGCATCACAAAATATAAGGAAAACACTAAAAGAAAATGCATTACATTTACCTTTTCCAATTAATTAACTTGGAAAAAAGTACTTTACATTTATTGAAAAAACGCTTTTTAGTCGATTATCACACACAGTGTTGGTATTTAACAAAAACAGTTTATATATCCGCTTCGGCGTACACGAAAAAGTTGGCTCATATAAAAAGAAATGTTTTTATATAAACCAATCGTCTTTTTAATATTGCATGTTAAAAAAAATTGACTGTCTCACAACTGGAGGTGTCTCACAACTGGAGACTCTCCCCTACTATAAAAAATTGTTTTTTGAAATTTTTCATAATTTTTTAATAGAAATTTCAACATCTATTAGCCTGAAATGTACAGAGGTACCCGGGTACCTTGTCCGCCTTTTATGGGTGAAGAAATTTTGTTTATTTTTTCCAAATAAATAAATAAATAAGTTACATTATAAACAATATCAAAACACTTTGTATGGATAGATGTTAGATGCCAAAAAACCTTAGGTTGATACGATTTTCGAAATTATGAATAAAACCAATATGAAAGTGCAGAAGGTACCCGGGTACCTCGTCCGCCTTTTATGGGTGAAGAAACTTCGTTTAATATTTCAGAATAAATAAATAAACAAAGTACATTATAAATAATGTAAAAACACTTTATATGGATAAATTTGAGATGTCAAAAAACCCTGGGTCGCTACGATTTTAAAAAATATGAAAAAAATCAATTTTAAAATGCAAAAGGTACCCGGGTACCTCGTCAGTCCCATAAAGGTTAATGTTAATGACATGAAAATAATATTATTTAATTTTGACTAGAAAACTATTAGAAACAAAATAACAAATAAGTAATTAATTGTAATTGAACGTAATTTATTTTTGATAATTAATAAGTTAAAAATACTGTAATAAACATATCTTCCATTATCGTCTCATTGGCAATCACGCTTTTCTATGAAACAATAGAGTCAACCTTAAAATATAACATGCTTAACGGAATAAAAATTTAAGTCTTATTCTCATGTAACATGTAATGTAAAAATTACATTATTGTTATATATGTTAAAAGTGAAATAAGAAACTTCACGCGCGCTTTAGCGCGCGTTATTTGTGCTAGTTTTTTATAATTATGATTAAAATTTTGGAGAAAAAATTATTTTCAAAATTTTTCATTAAAATCTTTAGAAAATTGATTATTATTTTTAATTTACCTAGGTATATAGGTATAATATTATTAAAACTAATTTTTAAAATTTTTCATCATAATTATAAAAAATTCAATTAAAATTCTTAAAAAAACATGTTTTCTAGTTTTATTATTAAAATTTTGGAAAAATTATGCTATTTAAAAAATATGTGTAAATAAAACTCTTCAAAACTTCCGTTTTTTTTCAAAATTTTCCATAAATTTATTTAAATAATTTGATTTTAATTTAATTTTTTTCAAAAGTATTTACTAAATTTCAATTTTTGGGAATTTTTTTAATTATAATTTTTTAAAAATTAATCATTTTCAATATTTTTAAAAGTTCACTTTATTTACTTTTTAAAAAAAATAAAATCCCTAAAGTGTTGCTTTTGCAATTATTTTAATAAATTGATTTTTTGTATTTAAATAATTGAATTCTTGAAGAACTTTCTAAAAATTAATGTTAGTAATTGATTCAGAAATGGATTTTAGTTACAAATTCCGCAGAAAATAATTGAATATTTAAAAATTGCAGTAAAAACTTTTAGAAATAATTAAATTTCAGAAGGTTGAAAATTGAAATTTTTAAACTTTTAATCCCTATCCTGTGGAGAAATAAATAACTTTTATTTAAACATTTATTTAACGAAGTTACTGAAGTTTTGAATAATTGAATTTTAGAATCAGTAAAAGGTCATGAAAATGCAAAATGAAATTTTTATGACAACACTGAATAAAATAGACAACTTTTTGGATTTTTTTTTAAGCGATTTTTTTTTGTTCCTTAAAGTCGATCCGAGGCATGTTGCAACTTCTAATAGTACTACTACCTACTACTACGAATTTTTGAAAATATTTTTTTATAATAATTAGAAATATTAATTTAAGGTCATGTTATTCAGTGGTCACGTGCTCCATATATTTTACTATGGGAACACGTGACCACTGAATAACATGACCTTAAGAATATTTCTTTAAAATTTCATTTTGACTCTAATAGGTATTAAATAAAAAAATTTTCGGCGAATATAAATAAACCAAAATGCCTAAACATTTTGGAAACAATTCAAGGTATTTTACTTATGTATAAAAGTCTTCTAGAAATAAAAATATCTAGAAATATTGCAAGAAATTTTGAAAATTTTAAGCTTGAACATAAAAGAGGCTTAATTGTCAAGAAATTTATCAATCCTCCAAGTCAAATATTTGACTTGGAGGATTGATAAATTTCTTGACAATTAATATTATCTTTTACCGAGTGATAAATTCTACTACTTAATAAAAGAGGCTTGTTAATTACAGATCTTGCCGAAGTCGTGTCCGTGACTCCTGCAGCACCAATGCAGGGCCCACCAAAGAAAACAGATGATAAATCATTTTTTGATGTGAGCAATTTATTTGTTATATTTAACAAAAAAGAAGAAAATAATTTTTCTTGTAAAAGGTTAAAAAGACAATTTTTTAAAACTTTTTTTTAAAACCTTTTTTTTCGAAAAATAGAATTAGAAATAATTCAAGTGGGCACAAAATGTAAACAAAATTTTATTTTACATTACAGTTACGCACAAATAGGCGGACCTACAATTTTTGCGCAGGTGACGCGGCAACGGCACAAGAATGGATCGAGAAGGTTCAAGCGTGCTTGCAGTAGTGCCTCTGTTCTAATTTCTTTCAAATTTTTAGTTTTGAAAAAATCATGCAAGTGACTGATAGGATAATTTAAATTTTACTTTTGTTAAATAATTTTTGTATAGCTTAATTATATATCGTAATAGATGTTTTTTTTAAATGTTGCGAATCTCGTGAAGAACGATTATAGAGTTTAAAGACAAAGACTATGTCAGCAAAACTGTTCTTAAGTAACAGATCACTGTTGTACATTATTATTCATAAATTTAATTTTCACGTGTTTAAAGAAAAAAGAAACATTTGAAATTGCGACAGAAGAATGAAATACGGAGAGATTTATCTAATACATTTTTTTTAGTTTTGTTTCTTTTATATTTTTTTGGCAAAAAAAAGAAAAAAGAAAAAAAAAACCCAGAGTATTGAAAGAGAAAAATTTATTTAAAGAGTCTAACTTATAAGCTTCGTATATCTGTCGATATATCATTAGATTTAGTGAAAAAAGATTTAAAATAAAAAAATGAAACAATGAGCATTGACGCAATCTCATTTGTGAGATGAAAAAATATATCTAGGAGACAAAAAAACATGCATGCTCTGCTTTGGAATTTGAATTCGTCGCTAAATATTACATTCTCATTTTTTATTTCGAATACGCTTTTAATTGTGAAAGAAAAAAAGGAAACGATCAGATACGACGGTTAGCAAAAGATAATTATTGTTGTTTGTACACTAACTTCTGTGTAGCACAGATGCCATGAAGACTTATTTAATTTTAAGTAAATATTCTATAATCAAATCTCTCTCTAAACAAAGATATACAGATTACAGCGGAATCGATATTTAAACGAAAAAAACAGTGGCAAACGCTTGTTCGCTTAGCTTTTTTTATTTTATTTTACTTTTTTTTTAAAGACCCTTTTTGTACATTCCCCTGTTTCGTGAAAACGAAATATTCGCCTTTAATGTTCGCTTTAAATTTATACGCGATTATGTATTTACTTTTTAGACAAAAGTTGACTGATACGCATTATCTGAAATTTTTGCAAAATAAATTACAATTTTTCGTTAAAAAAAACAATATTTTTCAGTTTTCCTTCGATTGTGATTAAGAAAGTTTCTTTTTCGAAATGTCTCGATAGGATAAAGAATTGAGGGCCTGCATACAATAACAACCGCTGCGCTTGGTTGTAGGGGATAGTACCAGTCAGGTAGCAGTGAACGGCCCAGAGACTCTCACTGCTGTCTGGCTGGTATTATCCCCTACAACCAAGCGCAGCGGTTGTTATTGTATGCAGGCCCTCAATTTCTTTTTTATATATAATTTTTGCGAATTTCGATACTCTATTGAAATTTACAACGATTTAAAAGAAACATTTTTAGAATTTTTTGTCTCAAAATATTTTTTTGTTTCGTAAACAAAAAAATTTGTTTTATAACCGAAAAACTGTTTACTTGGAAATATTTTTCGTTTTTTTGTAAACAAATGAATTCTACTTGCACTTAAAAATTATCTGCCTGAAACATTTTTTATTTGAGAAATTTTTGCTTTTCGCTCGAAAAAATTGTTGTCTGAAAATATTCATTTCTTTTTAAACAAAAAGATTCTGTTTTCTGCTCGAAAGGATTTTTTTCTGAAAATATTATTTGTATCTTTGAGAACAAAAGATTTTTGTTTTCCACTCGAAAAAATTTTTGTCTTCAAATATTGTACGAAACAAAAAATTTTTGTTTTAGCCTAAGAAATTTTTTCTGGATGAATATTACTTCTAACAAAATTTTTCTGTTTGTAAACATAGAATTTTTGTTTTTCGGTTCGAAAAAATTTATCGCTTAAAAAATTATTTTTAAGAAAATTTTCCTGTTTAAAAACAAAAAATGTTGTTTTCCGCCTGACAAATATTTGTTTTTCTTTCAATCGTTGTAAATATCATTGACGTATTTTTATGATTATTTTTAATTCTCATTTTCAGAATTACAAAATTTGTCAATTTTTATATTTAGTTGATTAATTTAATTGCCGAGTAATTATTATTTGCTTTCAACTTTTTTTTAGCAGATCATTTTATTTATTATCGATTATGAGTTCCGAGAAGAGAATTCTGCATTGCCAACTCCTCAGGACGTTGAGAGGATCACTAGATGGCATTTAGTTCTTCGCCTTCGAGGAAGGGGGTGAAAAAAAGGAAGTATGATTTTCTTTTTCTTTCTCTCTCTCTCGCTCTCTTTTTTTTACTTTAGAGAGAAAGGGTTAAGCATCGGCAAGAATAAATATGAATCCTTTATAGGTAACAAACTATACTGGGGTGCCTAATTTCTCAGGTATAACTTTTTTCTCTTTCTTTTTTCACAGCATCCCTTGGGATGAATCATCGACCCTACGGGAATCTCATGTATGAATTCGCGAAGACTCTGCAGCATTGTGTTTTTCTACAGTGTACGAGAAAAAAAAAAGTTCAGCTTGTCACATGACGTCGAGACTCCACATCCCTCGCTTCTTCTACACGTTCCGTCCACTAATCAAGGGAATCTTTGCGGAAAAAAATTCGATTTTCTTACCATGAATCATTCAACGTGGATGTATATGTGAATTAATCATGGAATTTTGTTGCCAATCATGATGTTTTTTCAGGTATGAAAATTTTACGGTTTCTTCATTTTTTCCAAGAGTCGAAGATAGTGAAAACAAAATTCTAAGAGTTTAATGTAGAAAATATTTAATTCTTTTTAACTGTTCAATATTTGTTCGAAAAACTTTGATTCTTTTTGAAAACATGAAATTTTTTAACTTTTGGTTTTTTTTCAATTTTGACGTATTTTGCTAAATACCTATTTAACGACTTTCTGTAATTGATTTTTTGAATTTTTTTCTTTTTAATTAAAAACTTTTTCTTCAAAACGTTTTTAATTTTTCAGAATTGAATTTTCTTTATGAAATTTTTTGCCAAGAAATAATTTACATTTTATGTTCAGGCCTCGGTTTATCGGACTCTTTGAACTTTCTTCGACTACTTTCCAAAAAGTCTACTTTTTTCGACTTATTTTCAAAAAATGCGACTTTCGACTTTTCTTCCAAATATTGCAAAAAAATACCACTTTTTGTTACATATCAAAATGAAACTTATTTCGATTTCTATAGTGAGAACAATAAGTAAAATCTTGAAAACATTATTTTTAAATAATTTTTTAAAGACAATTAAATTTTCAAAATTTATAATTAAAAAATTTTTAAATACAGGCAAACCTCGCTACGGCGGAAAGCAATTAGACGATTCCGCCGTAGAGAGGTTCGTTAAAATGCTATTAGTGAGTGAACGTTCAGGGATGTATCAACCATTTTAAATCATAGTATCCTTAAATATGAATATGAATTTTAATTTATTTAAAAATATGTATGTATTAAAAATCATTGCAATGAGAAAACTGGAGTGTCAAATTCGGAGGTTTAAAAAGTGTATGTTTCCTTTGCTTATGAAGAGAGTTAAATAGTCCTTCTAAAATAAATTTTGAATTGATAATGGAAATCTACTTGTATATTCTCTCCCATTATATCTGAGGGTTAAAAGTTGCGCAGAAAATGTGTACGATCTGATGCGCGCGAAATTATTTTTCTGACATTTTATGTATTTAATTTAGGGGTTAGGTTGCCATATTTATTCATTTCGCGCCGGATAAGGAAGGGATTTCTCAAGATGGTTAATTTGTCCCTCTGTTATAAACTCATTTTCCCTTCAAGAGAAATGGCACGAATATCTGTCAATGGTGTATTTGAACATTTAGATTGTTATCCAATAGCTAACTCTCAAATATCAACGATTTGTCCCTCCAGATGTTTAGTCCAATACTCCAGTTTTCTCAGTGTGAATTCTTGAAAAGAATTTTGTCAAAAAATTTGAGAATAATTGAATTCCTTCGCAGAATTTTATTATTTATGAAAATAATCGAATTCTCGCGAAAAATGTAATGAAAATTTATAAAAATCTTAATTAAATTCTTCTGAAGAATATCTTTAAACTTTTTTAAAATAATGGAGTTTCTTTAATAGTTATAATTGAAAATTTTGAAAGTAATTGAATTATACAAAGAATTTTTTCAACTTTTTAAAATAATCGTGTTTGTTAATAGGTAATTTTAAATATTTGATTTTTAAAGTTTATTAAAATTGTATTGAAAATAATTGAATTCTTAGCTCAGGAGAATTTTATTATTTATAAAAAATAATTTAATTTTTGCGATGCATTTTAAATATAATTATTTTTTTTAAATTACTTTGATTTGTTATTCTATTTATTTTATTATTTTTCATGTTTATTTTTTATAATATATAAAATATATCACAAAATAAACAAAAATTATAAATCAAATATAAATTAAATAATTTAAATAAGAAAACATTGTAACCAACTTTATTATTTAAGATAAATCAGTTACTATTTAAATTACTGAATAGAAAAAGAATTATATAAAAAGTACAACAAAATAACTAAAAATGGAAAATAGTAAATTAAAAATAAATAAAATCAACTTTAATATGGCGCATATAAGTGTTTAATTATTGTTCAAATAATTTATAATATTTCTCCTAAATTTATGAACTGCAGTTCGTTTATAATAAAGATTTTAGTATAAAACAATAACAAATTAGAAATTGAGTCGCGTTCTATAGTTTCGAATAAACAGTCACAGATATATACATATACACACGAATACAACACACACACACACATAGACAATATGTAAAATAATTCAATCAATTGTCAAAAAATAGGACAATTGAGAAAAAATAAAAACAGCAATGAATTATAAAAAATGTATAAATAAAATGAAATCGCCTCGTGCTCACAAATACTTATCGGAATTAAACAGCGAGAATAAGCAATCAAAGACACACTCGAATCCAAGAGATCACGTTTACTTCCAGATGTTCCTGGGAATTGTCTTAAGAAATCCACGCCCAATTATTTGCTGGATTCTATTATATTTTTCCTGGATGGGACTCCAAATTAGCAAACCTTGATGGATTGAGATTTCGTCTGATTTTGATTGTCTTAATTTTCTGTCCGATTTTTAATCGCCACACTATCACATATAATAAAAGAAAAATGTATAATACCGATAAAGATAATTATCCAAAAAGAAAAACAACTAGTTTGAAATATAAAATGCAAAATGATTTCCTACCTATCAGTGTCCGCGGCCGGCACTTGAAAATATGGCACAGACCCCGCTGTCCGAATTGAGGCACGATGACGAAGTGAAGAACACAAAATCATCGCTCCCAAATCCGACAGCGGTTTCCCGGCATCCTTCCCTACTTCTCTCAATTTTTCGGCAGACCAAAGACACCGATAGGCAGTTGAAAATACGTCATATCAGAAATTCGCGCATTTTCCACCAAAGTTTACAAGGAGACAACCCAACTTACATCACAGTATAATACATATATTAAAATATCGCTTCAACATCCACAATTCGAAACTTTTCGGCCCTGAATTTCATGGCACACACATAGTCACAACTCTCACTGATATAATCCCTTCTACTTCTACCTGGCGAGTTTCCGCCGTATAGAAGTCCGCCGTAGCGAGGTTTGCCTGTAATTGAAATTTTGTAAGTTTTTATATTGAAAACAATTTTTTTTAAGTATTTCATTAAAATGTGTGAAAATAAAATTTTGAAGAATTTTAATTAGAATTTTTCAAAAAAAAAATTGAATTCTCACAAATTTTAATAAAAAATTTTCTGATGAAAATTTGGAAATCGAAATCGATGAAAACTAAGTCAAAAAAAAATGTATTAAAATATTTATTAAAAAAGGAATTCCTAGAATTTTTTCATAAAAATTTTTTAAAATCCAATTATTTTCAATAATTTTGATTAAATATTTTCCTAAAATTCAAATAATTAAAAAAAATAATTACATTAAAATTTTTTTTAAATTTCTATTTTTTCAACTATATTTAAAATTTGGAGAAAGCAATCATTTTCTAAATTTGTAATTGAAATTCTTTCGAATATTACTTAGTTTGTTAAATTGTCAAAAGATTCTATTCAGAAATCCAATTATATTTTCGAAAAATG